CCATCCTAGGGAAGGTAATCACAGGTATGTGTGCTGCAATGGAGAGAAAATTTCTGCTTCCCTATAAGCACTGGCCTGGTCAGGGACTGAGAGTGTATCAGGGAGCTTCCAGCAAACCTCTCTATATAGTCCCCTGAGACCAAGAAGATCATGCTAGTTTTGGTGGTGGTAGTGACAGACTTGTCCTTGAGATTTCAAAATAATACTATTTTTTGGCAGCGGTTCAAAACAGGGTGAGTAATATAAAAATATTGCTTAGTATTGCTTTGAGTGGGAAAAAAAATCAGGAGACTGGTCTTTATCTTTCTTGTTCTGCAACTTTGAATCATTGTTCAGAGAAAAGAGTCCTCCCCGACTCTGCTAAGTTCTAAATGATTCTGTAGAATTAAATTTATGAATAGTTGTGGGCTTACCTCATTAAAGATTAGATAATTTTTATTCTGGGTTTAAATCTTTCTAGAACCTGTTATATCTATCTTTTACTTTTTCAATATATTAACCACTTTCCTTTCTTCCAAAAGATACTATGATAAGTTCAGTAACATTTTATGAGGCAGTAGGTTATGGAGATATGAATGCTGCTTCTGAAGTCAGGCAACTTGGTTTCGAAGTCTGGCTTTGCCACTCACCAGTTAGACAGGTTAACACTCTGTGCCTCAGTTTCTTTACCTATAAATAGGGATAATACTAGCACCTGTCTCAAAGGGTTCGTGTAAGGCTAAATGAGTTAATACATGTAATGTACTTAACACCCTGCCTGGCACATAGTACTGCTTGGAAAATGCTGCTGCTGCTATAACTACTGTTATAATTATTATTACAGCAATATTTTTGATGCCTTGAACTCATTTATAAAGTTCTTAAATTATAATATGCTACAACCTACCAATATGTTCTCAAAGAGAATTGGCTTTTATATAAAATACTCCTAGACTGATATGCTGTTTTATGGCTTTCATATTTTCCTTTGTGAGGCATCTGGTTTTTACTTCTCCCTGAAGTTGGTCATTTTCATTTCTGTATCAGACCCTTTCCACACTTCTATTTTTGTGGGGAGCATAAAAAAAGAGTAAACCAATTTGTTAGACATGTGTATTAATTATGAGCTAACATGTTCTAAACTAAGTTGAAAAAACTCTTCTATGAACAGAGAGAAAGAATTTGAGTCCAAGGACATCTCTTTAACTACTCAGAGGATTTCATTTTTCCTTATTTCCTGTTTCTTAAACAAAAAAAAAGTTAAGTTTCTGTGGTGATAGATTAAACAATAGTTATATATAAAGTTAAAAATAACAAACCTCTATTTCAGTTCAAATAATTACTTGTTACACTCCTACTATATGCTAGATACTGGGGGAAATACAGGGAATGATATGGTCCTGAACCTTGCAATTTAGAAGGGGAGATAAAGTATCAACAATATCAAGATAATATGGTCAAGATACCAAAGATATTGCACCAGCACTATGGCAGTCTAGAGTAAGGTCCCTTAACCTAATCTGGGGATTCAGGGACAGCTTCCTGAAGAAGACCATGCCTGAACTGAGCCTTGATGGCAGCCAGATGAAGAAAGGTAAGATGGGCTATTCTCAGCATGGGAATAGGAGAAGTGATGAAGAAGGAAGCAGCACAGTGCCTTTGTGAGAGTATATGGCTGCATGTGTAAAATGCAAATCAATTGATGTTGCTGTAATGAAAAAAATGAGATGAGAAATGGTGAGAAATGAAGCCAGGAGATAGACTGTATGGGGATCAGACTAGAGAGGTCCTCATGTCATGCAGAGAAGCTTGAATATGACTTGTTCAGAGATGAAGAGCCAGTAAGAAAACTCTGAGAAAAATGGCATTTTGCAGATTTTCATTTCAGATGTAGAACTCAGACAGCAGAGGAAAGGACAGCAAAAGTAGAGAAGACCAAGGGAAGAGAGATCAGGTAGGTAGCCTTTGCAATTAATAAGCTGGAGATAGCAAGGCCTGGAAGAGGTCAAAGCAGCAGATCTGGTAAAGAAGAGAGGGTCCCAGGCATACCTTAAAGACAAAAATGGAAGGCCCTGGTGACGTATTAGATGAGGCAAGACTGAGAGAAATCTAGGATGACTACTTGGTTTCCATTACTAGGCAGATAATAAGGCAATTAACTGAGAGAGAAATCGGTGGGGTTTTTGTTTCTGTCTTTAATTTAGCATTGTTTTCGTTTTTTCTTTTAAGGGATGGGCATAGAAAGATAAAATAGTGAGTTCAGGTAAGCTTGAGGTCATCAAGGGAGAGGTCAGAACTGGAGATACAAATTTTAGAATCATTAACAATAGAACCGTAAAAGCAGATGAAAGTGCCTAGGAAAAAAAAGCATGAAAAGAGAAGAGCAGCAGAACAAGGGTGAGATGCTAAAGCAGGAAGAGAGGTGGATGGCCTGTTAAAGAAACTGAGACACCACACTGAGAGGCACAGGGAGAGAACTGTGTCATAAAAGCCAAATATGAGTTTCAGATGTAGTTGTCAGAAAAGCAAAACATGCTTGTAACAGCTACATTTTCCAAGCACTCACTACATCAGGCACTGCTGTTGCTTTATATACCACATTTCATTTAATCTATTATCCACATGATAGAGATGGTGAATCTGAAGTTCAGAGAAGTCAGGTAACTTACCCAAGGTCATAGGGTGAGCTGGCAGAACTGGGGTCTGAACCCAGGTCTGCTGGATTACAAAGCCCATGTTCTTAACTCTGCTGGAGTAAAAGAACTTCTTCAGGATGCAACTTAATAGTATCATAATAGGGACTGCTACACACTGCTATCCCAAGAAGCACATTTTAAAAACTGTCTAATAATTTCAAAAGAATATTTAATATCTAATAAGGTCATTATATATTTAATCACTTTATATCATCAAAATAGATTATTTCAGTGATACTTTAAAGATAATCTTTTTATTGCATAAAAATGGTCAAATTATGAGAACAATGAAGTGCAACACAAGCCAATTCACTCAGCTGGCTAAAGCACTGCTTTGATAAAGCCAAAAGAAAGGTCCTAGTTGGACACGTTAGAGCTCTTCTCAAGTAAACCAAGTCACTTAGACACCTAAGCCTACTCAGCTATCTCATAAATTTACTATTGGTCTCAAGGAGAACCAGAGAGGGTATGCATAGTTTAACACGAACCTACCACAAAGGTGGAAAAATTCATTAAAGTATAAATTCTATGGGAGTGTTATTTTAGATAAAGAATGATTATCCATTTAAAGATAGAGAATAAGAAAGTCACATTCTTATTATAAAAGTTGTAATTTTCCCATTTCCCACTAGAGGAAGCAGTAGCATTATTCTTACCATTTGGTGGGTAAAAGACAGCATATTCTTCTAGTCCTAGTTTTCCTATAAGAGAAAACCATAGAGGATTTCAGCATGAATAAGCAAAGTAAACTCTTAAAAACCAACTTACTTTGTGAATGTACTAATAATCAATAAAAATCTAAAAACTACTTTAAACTGATCTTATTTCATTTCATGATATAAATTAAATTTGAAAATTTACCAGCCAATCGTTTATTATTAGCAAACCCCTTCATCAATTAAAATCAGTAATATAACTTAAGTACAAGGAAAGTGATACAAAATAAGCAAAAGAATAAATACTTTCAAGTTCCTTAAGCACTTAAGAAGAGAATTGTCTATTTATTAAGCATAGAATTGTTTTGTTAATTATAAATAATTCTAATATATTCATTAAAGCAAGTCTAATCTTTGCGATTCTATATTAGTTTACATTTTTATGGAATGTGCTGAAAAGTTAAACATTAACTGTATGGTGGTCATATTTTCTGACTACCAAAACAGTTCACATGATTTGAGAATGGGGCTAACTACTTGAAATCAGAATTGTCCCAGAAAAGCAAAGTATATTTACGATAATCAAATATTTAATGTTGTTTTAAAAAGTAGCTTTCCCTCGAAACTTTTATGGCTCTCAGTTTTTTCTACCTTCCACTGAACATCTTTAGATAGCTTTTATCTTGACAGTTTTTTCTACCTTCCACTGAATATCTTTAGATAGCTTTTATCTTGACAGTTTTTTCTAATTCCTAGGAGTTCACTAAAAAGCCACTTGCATTATTAAAGTTAACATTTTTAGTGAAAAAAACTTTTTTTTCCTTGTTGGAGTGGTAGCAGAGAGGAGATGAAGAACAAGAAGTATGAACAGTTCAAGTCATGGTGGTGACAAGGACTGATCTTGTGAGCAAGAATAATGAAAGATAGATTACAGATAGATAGACAGACAGAAAGATAAAATTGCTTACTGGGTCAGGTGCTGAGAGGCAAACAGAATAAATATAAGATATGGTCCTTCAATCATGTGGTTTATAATCTAGACTAAACCATGAAACATTAAGTTATGTCTGCTAACTTTTCTGGCACAGCCTTTAAGTGTTTAGAAGTTCAGAGGAGAGAGAAATTGATGACAGGTTTATAGACACAGAGAGATACAGACTAGTTCTTCAAGGACTCATGATTTTTGAGGGGGAAGAGTGGAAAGTTTTCCATATAGAGGCTAGAATGAATATGGGATATTGAGGAATAATTAAGGAAGCAAAGTTAGCTAGGTTAAGACAACTGACCGAGGGCCTTAAAATCCTGGCTGAGTTAAGAGGTGAGTCCATTAGATAATTAATTCTACAATCAGTTTTTCAACAGATAGTGTTAAAGAAACAAACTAAAGGGGTTTCCATACATTCAACTTAGATGCAATGGAATTAAGAGAGCCCTAAGTTGGAGGGAGCCTGACTCTAGCACAAGGCAGTGTGGCCTATACTAGGGTAGGGGTTGGAGCAATCAAGCAAATACTACTTAGGAGACATGGGAGAAACAGCTTCTTTCTTCAGGGAAACAGCAGAATGACTATACACAATAGGGTTTGAGTTTTCAGTGCTGGGTGTTCACCATTTAACAAAAAGAAAAAATTGGGAAGGGTTTTTAGCTGACATTAGTTCAGTTTTTAGGGGACGGCAGGATATTGAAATAGTGATATCTTATAGACAGCTACTGATAACAAGAAGCATGAAAATAGAAATTAGAGAGCTAAAAAAATTTTAAGTGTGATAAAGCATTTTGAGAAAAGAAATATAGAAGATTTTAAAAAGTAGAACAATCAAATCTGTGTGGTAAACTTATAGTTGCAAAGGAAAATAAATGTCAACAGATATGACAAAAACAGCAATAGAGGGCAAACAGGGAAGACAAGGAAGATAACTTGAAATTCTGCTTCTGGGAACCATTTTCCTGTGATTTGTGATAAGTTTCTGGGCATTGATTTAAGTAAGAGGGAAAAGATGGTTACAGTTATCTGAGAGAAATATTTAGTAATTTACAATTAAAAAGTCTGGCAACATCACATATGTTATAAAGTAAACAAATATTTTTGGCATGATTATGCAAGTCTTAATACTTCCTTAAAAATCACTATAATTTTACCTCTAATGTATGATTTCGGTGGTGAAGCACTGTTGTATGCAAAGTGACTCAACACAGATGTATCCCGGGAAAAACAAAGTAATACCTGGGTATAACATTGGGGAAAAAAACAACAATAAGCAATTAAGCACTGTTATAAAACCAGATAATTCATTAGTATTTCCTCCTCCTCAGGAGACTTTGATGTGGAATTCTGAAAGTTCAAGTAAAGTGCCTTGCGATGGGAAGAGTGCCCTCTGTCGGTATACCTACGGTTAAGTGTTATAGTGGGATGCCAAGTTCTTCCAAAGATTTGTTTCCCACGTGAACTTTGAACAACAGAAAATGCAAATTGCAAGCTACCAGTTGATTCTTTTCTTGTGTTTTCTATCTGTCAAAGAGAAACGGCTGGGAGAAATTTAACAGATAATAAATGTGTTGGGCAGACTCTAGGTAACGATAGTGGCAGAGAGCAATTTGGGAAGTGCAAGAAATGAACTAGACTCATGGTGGGATGCAGCAGGCAGTTGGGCATGTCAGGGTGAAAGAGAAGGCAACTGGTGGTATTGAGAAAGGATGGTGGCAGCAGTAGAACAAGTGGTTGCCCAATACAGTGTTGTCCTGACCAGCAGGTAGGATGTGGTGATTATGTGAAGAGAAAAATAGGTGGGGCAGAAAGTCGGAATCAAGGGTATACAACAGAAGGGATTGGATTACTGACAACAGCCTGGAATTTAGAAGCAAGAGTCCAACCCCCAGGAATGTGATTAATGACAGAAATTCTGGGTCCTGATATTTAAGAAGACCTGGAATTCTAAAGATGTTGCCAAGAAAATAATTCAGAATGGCTGACTGGAAAAGAACCCAAGATGACCGGAAAAGGCAGAACAGGGGCACAGAATCAGGGCTGGACTAGCAGCAAGAGTGAATGGGGACACAAATTATTTTGTATCCAAAACACTGGTAACCTGGCTCAGCCTTGGAAAAAGGAATGGAGACTCAGCATTAGTCAGGTTCAATGGTGAAATGTACACCAACCACTGCTACTGATTTGCTTTTACTGTATTTTTAAATGACTACATAAGCAATATATGTTTATGATAAAACTAGAAATATAGTTTATCAAAAAAGGAGGAAATACACATAATCCCGCCAGTGTTAATATTTTGATGTATGTCTTTTGAGACTGGTCTAATACACTCATATATATGTATATTTCAAACAAAAGAACATCATTCATATTGTTGTATATTTTCTCCCAATATAAAATAAATATTTCCTACATATTTTTGTGTTGCAGAATATTCTGCTGTATTAATGAAAAAATTATTTAACCTGTCTTATTGTTGAACATTTAATTATTTCTACTTTTCCCCAACTGCAGTGAACTTCCTTATGGCTAAATCTTTATATACACTTTTAGTTATTTAAACTCCTAAAACTGGATTATGTTTATGGTCAAATGCTTTGGGTATTAAACTTAAATTTTTTAATATCCATTGGCAAATGGCCCTCCAGAAAGAAGATTGTTTTGGTTTTATTTTTAACATATTCAGTAGTGGGATAGAGCACATTTTTCCTTTTATCAAAATGATTATCAGTATCTTAAAGTGGCACCTTTAAATAGTAACACTGGGTTATTGAAAAAAATTTAAGTGGTATCTTGCCTTAATTTCACTTGTAATTTTCTTTTTTTTTTGAGTCAGAGTCTCACGCTGTTGCCCAGGTGTGCAGTGGCACGCTCAGGGCCACCGCAACCTCAACCTCCTGGGCTCCGGTGATCCTTCTGCCCCAGCCTTCCAAATAGCTAGAACTACAGGCACACATTACCAAACCCGATTTATTTTTTGACTTATCGTAGAGAAGAGGTCTCGCCAAGTTGCCCAGGCTGGTCTCAAACCCCTGGACTCAGGCAATCCTCTCTCCTTGGCCTCCCAAAGTGCTGGGATTATAGACTTGAACCACGGCACCCGGCCTCATTTGTAATGTTTTAATTCACTTAATAGGTTGAACGCTTCCATTTGCATTTCTTTTGTTTTCCAGTTCATCACTTAGTCCATTTTAAAATGAATGTTTTAAAATTATTTGTTTACATTTTTTGTATATTAAGAATTCTAAGCCGGCTCGGTGGCTCAGCCTGTAATCCCGTGCCTTTGGGAGGCTGAGGTGAGTAGATTGCCTGAGCCCACAGGTTCGAGACCCGCCTGGGCAACTTGACGAGACTTCATCTCTACAATAAATCAAAAATTAGCCGGGCGTGGTAGCGTGCACCTGTAGTTCCAGCTGCTTGGAAAGCTGAGGCGGAAGGATCGCCGGAGCCCAGCAGGTCGAGGCTGCAGTGGGCGGGAGCGGCCACTGCACTCCGGTCTGGGCGACAGAGTGAGACTCCAACTCAAAACAAAAAATAAAAAAAAAGAATTCTAATCTTAGAAAGGTCTAACTGTATTTGTTGATTATTTTTGACATAGAAATGTTTTAAATTTTTATGTGGTCAAATCTACCAATACTCAAGCTTAGAAAGTCCCTCCCTACATGTATATCCTATATATATTCACCAAAATTATGAAAGACATTGATTGGTGCTGTTCATCACATATTTCTTGTTCTACCCCTTTGAGAATATAATTCAGCTTGTCTTTTCTGGCCACTTTAGCCATGTGACTTACTCTTTACTCAATGAAAAGGATATATATCACTTGAGAGTTTCCAAATAGAAGTGTCAAGAACCAGAGCACATTTAACCAGGTTCCTCTTCACAGTAACCATCAGTGGAAACTTCAATAACCTGGATCTTGAAGTAAGTATAACACAGAGCTGCTATCCCATCTTACCCAGAGGGCATGAGCAATAAAACCTTTGTTGTTTTAAGCCACTGAGATTTTGGATTTGTATGTTACCACAACATAAATTAGTCCATCCTGACTAAACCAGAAAATTCATTTAGCATTTTCACAGATTCATTTTGTGGTAAAATCATTAATGCATCTGGAATTCAATGTGAAGCTAGACTGCAGGAGTTCGTATTCAAATAGCTTTGCCATTTACCAACTGGGTAACACTAGGCAAGTCACTGGATGTCTTGGTGTCTGTTTTCTCACATGTAATATGTTTATAACAATAACACCTATATCAAGGTGCATTGTGGGAATTAATTCATATACATAAAGTGCTTAGAACAGTGAACTAGCACATGCTATTATTAAAATGTTATCTGCTATTATTACTTCTGCTATTATTGTTTTTTCTATATTCTGCAATATATTTAATTTTGGATTTGTTTTACTTATATGGCTCAACGGTCATGTTTTGTCAATTTAAAATTTTATCTCCATTTCTGGAAAGTTCTCAGCCATTATTTTTTTGAATGATGCTTCTACTACATTTTCTCTATTTACTTCTACCTGACTCCTATGAGGTGTAGGATTTACCTACATGTGTTTAACCTGCCACGCCTTTTACTTACTTTTATCCCTCTGTGCTCCATTCTGGATGACTTCTTCAGATTCTTTTCTAATCAGTTCACTAATTCTCTTCTTCTTCCCCTACTATGCACCAGGCACTGTTCTAGGAGCTGGTGTCTTGGATACATCAGAGGAAAAAGACAAAGCACTTCCTTTGTGGAGCTTGATTATGTTGGAGTGGGGATGGGGGTAATAAGTAGCAAATATAATAAATACTTTCTAATAGTGCTATGGAACAAGGGAAAGGTGAACAGGAAAAGTGATTGCCATTTTAGGGAAGGTGGCCAGGGTTGGCTTCACTAAGAAGGTGACATCTGATCAAAGACTTGAAAGGAGTTGAGAAAGTTAGCATATGGATATGTGGGGGAGAGCATTCCAGGCAGAAGAGCCAGTAATTGTGGAGGTGCTAAGAAAGAAGCATGCCTGGTGTTTTGGGGGAGCAGCATGGGTGCCAGTGTGAATGGACCAGATGAGTTGGAAGAGATGTCAGAGAGAAATAGAGAGGACAAATCAGGCAAAGCCATTGTTGGGATGTTGGCTTTTACTGGAAGTGAAATGGGGAGCCATTGTGGGGTTTTGAGCAGAGGAGTGAACCTCTTATCCTCAACTCAGAATGGGTCTGACAGTTTATCCCATCTTCAGAACTCTGCAGCACTGGCTGAGGCTTCTATTTAAACTGTATTGCAGCTAGAGTTTTCCTTCTGCTCAATCCTGCTTCATCCACTGTGCTTTGTCGATACCAAGATACTCCCTAACAAAACTTCAGCACGCTAATCTCTACCTGAGTAGGCTTCCTTGGGAATATATCTTACAAGATAGTGAACACAAGGAAAAGTGGTCAGTTTCTAAATACACTGAGAAGGCAAATCCAACAAGGTTTACTGACGGATGTGTTGTGTGAGAGAAAGACGGGAGTCAAGGAGATAACAAGTGGAAGGTGAAAGTGGGAGAATGCTTGATCTGAGCAAGTAGAACACCATCAACTGAAACAGGGAGAGTGGCAGGCAGAATGGTTTGGGGAGTGAGATCAGGGGTTCAGTTTCAACAGATTAAGTTTGCAGTGTCTGCAAGGTGTCTAAATGGAAATGTTGAACAGCCATTTGGAGATACTAGTCTGGAATATAGGAGAAAGGTCAAACTGAAGATACAAATTTGGGAGTTATCATATAGATGGAACCAAAAGTCACAGAATAGATAAGCTTGGTAAAAGCAAGTGAGTGAGTATAACTAGAGAAAAGGAGACAAAGAACAGACACCTGAGTCACTGTAAATATTGAAGAGAAAGAAGAAACCAGCCTGGAAGACTGAGGCGTAACCCACAGAAGTGGATTTATCACAACGCTTTGAAGAAGCTTTGTATCCCTGGTTTAGCCTAGGTCCTGGTGAGAGCTGGAGGTTGCTGGGAGACGTAGAGTTCGAGGCAAGGAAGGCAAGTCAGGCTGTAATCAGAAAGCATTTCTATATCAGTATTTCTTGTAAATTGCTTAAGAAGATCTCAGAAGAATAAAAGCCTGAATCTCTATGGTTGTAATAATCTGTTATTTTTCCTCATTCTAAACAAAAATACATGTTTTAATCTGCTTTTGCATTTGTAATATTATATTCTTTCTGTAAAGAAAGCCCTCCAGATTGTATAAGCTTTAGG